TGTACTTCTCTGAAACCATTGTATCATTGTGGCCTACCTGGGTTGCGGTTTATCATAACGAAGTATTGCTGTTCGTGTTGGTCGAGATCCCATGACTGTTGGCAGAATATGGAATGCCGGGCTGGATCTCAGCGCCACCATCACTAACAGCCGAGAAGACAGGCATGTTACTCACATGGCCTTAAGGGATCGTACAACTACGTCATGAACCCGAGTCAACAAATGGGGTCATTTGCAAGACAACAAGTGTCTGCATGAGCAGTTCGATGACGTTTGCAGCAGCATGGACTGTCAGCAAAGGGACCACGGCTTCGGATACCCTTGACGCTCCATCACAGGCAGGAGCGTCTTCAATGGTGCAATCAACGATGAACCTGGACGCAGGAATGGCATAACGTCGTCTTTTCAGAGTAATCCAAGTTCTGTATATAGCATCATGATTGCCGCATCCGTATTTGGCATCATCGTGGAGAACGCACATTGGCAGCTTGCTTTCGACATCGTCACACAGGCCCATCACCTGGAGTAATGGTATGGGGTGCCATTGGATACACGTATGGATCACCTCTTGTTCGCAATGCCGGCTCTTTGAACAGCAGCCGATACATTTCTGATATGTTAGGGCCAGTTGCTCTGCCTTATCTTCGAGGCCTCCATAACGCTACGTTTCAGCAGGAGAATGCAGGGCCGCATGCTGCCCGCACTGTCCTGACCTTCCTTGACACAGAACATGTTCGCCTGTTGGCCTGGCCAGAACGTTCTCCTGATCTCTCACCAATTGAAGCGTCTGGTCAATGGTTACGGAATATCTGGCACTCCACCACTCGTCAGTCACTACGGTCGATGAATTGTGGCATAATGTTGAAGCTGCATGGAAAGTTGTACCCGTCCAAGCTGTCCAATCTCTTTTCGATTCGATACCCATGAGAATAACTGCTGTTATTGCTGCGAGGGGAGGCTACTCTGAGTACTGATTCCTCAGGATCTATGCATCAAAATATCCTGAAAATTTAATCACTGGTTCTTCCAACTATAATATATGTGCCCAATTGTGGATTTAACTCACAAAACAGAGAATGCTAAAAATCATGAAGTACTCAAATAAACTGGAACACATTTATTATTACTTTCAATGGTTAACTTAAATCTAAAATTCTAATTGAATATACAAGTATATATATCGGATTATCATACAATCGGCCAAAGACTCAAAAGATGAGTGGGCTGCTCATCCCTCTCCACCGGCATGAAAGAAGAAATTGTTCGTTCTTTTATAGATAACGATTTCGTACGTCACATTGATTGAATGCTTGTTTCTTGAATTCCCTTTACTTCCATCCTGGAAACGAATCTGAAAAAAAAAATTCAAACACTAAACTTTATAACTGGAAACTACTTATTTCCACATTCGGCCCCATTATAAACTTTATCAATAAAATACTGAAATTTTTCTTTACTTGAAGGTTTCGTGAGAAAATCTGCTAAGTTGTCTTTACTACAGACGTACTCCAGTACAGATGTACTCCAATTTAAATAAGTTTTCTTCTAACATATTTCTAATAAACTGATATCTTACGTCTATGCGCTTAGTTTTCACATTTTCAATCGAATTTTTGGAAAAATAAATTGCAGCTTTGTTGTCACAGAGTTGAATTGGTACTTCCATATTTTCTAATACATTCAATTCATTTAAAACTCTTGAAAACCAAATAATTTCTTTAACAGATTCTATAAGTGAGATAAATTCGGATTCCATAGAACTAAGAGCTACACACTTTTGTTTACTTGTTTTCCAAGTGAACGGTACTCCACCCAAATATATTATATGTCCACTCGATGAATATCCGTTGGTTAAATGGCATCCACAATTAGCATCAGAAAAAGCTACTAAGTTATTTTGATTTACACTTGACAAGTTAATTTTTAAATCTTTCGTATTAAACACATAATTTAATAAATCAACAACTATATTCCAATGTTGATAAGAATATCCATTACAATATTGCTATAAAATATTAACTGAAAATGCAATATCAAGTCTATTTCTATTAGCTATAAAAGAAAGACAACCAATCAAAGTTCTATATGGGAATTTTTTCATTAAATCTGTTTCAAAAATTTCTTCTTCGTTAACTTTAGGTGGTAATTTAATTCCAGGTTTTAAAGGCAAATTTGCAAAAGTTTTAGGTAATTCTTCAAATTTCTTCATTAACTTTTCAATATAAGTTTCTTGATGTAAATAAACCCTATCATTTACGGCTTCAAAGTTTACACCTAATAAATATTTCAATTTGCCTAAATCTTGAATTTCTAATTTACTTTTAAGTAAATCAACGACTTCATCAATTTTGTTCCGATCTTCCCCAAATAATACTATGTCGTCGACATATACCAAAAGAATAACTTTAGATTTTAATTTGTAAACACAATTACACCAAAGTAGATTTTCAAAGCTTAGTTGTCCTAAAGTATTATCTAACTCAATATTCCACTGTCGTCCACTTTGTTTTAAACCATATATAGCTTTATTTAATTTACAAACCATATATTCTTTATCTTTAACTTCAAATCCTTTCGGTTGAGACATATATAAAGTTTCAGTTAAATTTCCGTATAAATATGCACTTTTAATATCCAATTGTACACATTTCCAGCCTAAAAAACTTACTAATAAAATGAATAGAAATCGTATAATTGAAAAATTTACTACAGGTGAAAAAATGTCAGAAAAGTCTTTTCCTTTTACCTGTTTAAATCCTTGAGCTACCAGCCGGGACTTGAACTTCTTTATCTGGTTTTTATCATCTCGCTTCACATTATACACCCATCTGCTTCCGATGATTTTGGCATTTTCTGGAGGTTCAACTAAATCCCATACTTTACGATTTTTCATCATTTGAATTTCATCTTCCATGGATTTATTCCACTTATCCTTGTCGGCTGATTCTTGGGTTTCCTCGTACGTTCTAGGCGATTCCAAGTTGTATACTTCGTCTTCAAAAATATCTTCGAAATCTTGAACTACACAATCCGTCGATGAATCTCCGCTATCTTCTTGCTTTGGACTTGTCGACTTAAATGAAAATAGTTCTGGTTGGAACTTTAATCCGTTCTTAGCACAAAATCGTTCTACGTCCATAGTTGATCGAAGTCTCTCTTTGCTTGAAGGTGGGTAATAGTAAACATCTATTCTTGAACTTAATTTTCTTGGTGCTTCAACTCTTTTCCACTCTTCAATTTTTATTGGTAGCATTTCTTCTTTCTTTGTAACAGCTTCTTCGTTATTGTCTAACACTTGTTCTTGGTAGCTGTCTTTGTATCTTACGTATTCACACTTCTTATTCTTCCCAAATAATGTCTCTACTCCATTTCTCGTTTCGTCAACACTAGCATGAATAGTTTCTACTACTCTTCTTTCTTCTGGTTGTTGTTGTTGTTGTTAATTTACGTCGCACTAGAGCTGCACAATGGGCAATTGGCGACGGTCTGGGAAACATCCCGGAGGATGATCCGAAGACATGCCATCACAATTTTGATCCTCTGCGGAGGGGATGGCACCCCTGCTTCGGTAGCTCGACGACCTGCGCGCGAAGTCGAGCACTTTACGGTAGCACAGTTTAACGAGGACCAATACCGCACACCCTCGGTCCCTACGCAGACTGATCCAAGTGGTCACCCACCCGCACACTGACCGTAGCCAGTGATGCTTGACTTCGGTGATCTGCTGAGAACCGTGTCTTAACGATCAGTCCACTGCGGGACTTCTTTCTTCTGGAATATAGATCCTATAACCCTTCGTTCTTGTTGCGTAGCCAACTAAGATTCCTAGTTTTAATGTATTGTTCAACTTGTTGCGTTTTACCTTCGGTACGTGAACAAATGCCAAAGAACCAAATATTCTTAGATGTCGAACTGATGGTTTGTATCCACTCCAAATTTCAAAAGGTGTTAATCCATTTGTTAACTTGTGTTTACTTCCGTTTCGTACATGAACGTATATATATAGAGCTTCAGCCCAAAATCGGTCATTTAGTCCACTATCGTGAAGTGATGCTCGAACAGCTTCAACTGCGTCACGGTTGAATTTTTCTGCAATCCCGTTTCGTTCTGGAGAATAAGTTGAAGTTCGCTCTATTCGAATTCCCAGATTGTTTAAATAATCTTCAAACTCGGCGTGACAAAATTCCATTCCGTTGTCGGTTCGAACTGACTTCAATTTGCAGTTTAACTCTTTTTCAGATTTTACGAGATATGTTTTGAAGCATTTAAAAACTTCTGTTTTCTTCTCTACAGTAAAAACTTCCACTTTTCATAGAAAAATCATCTATTATCGACAAAAAATATCGACTTCCACCCATTGAAGGTGTTGGAGAAGGTCCCCACAAATCCATATGCACCTTATCCAGTACTTTATTTGGTAGACGTTGATAATTCCTTTTAAAAGATGCTCGGGTAGACTTTGTCACTTTGCAAGTGATGCAGGTTTCAGATTTACCTTTCAGTTGCTCAATTCCTTTTACAGAATTGTTATTACTCATGTGCTTAACAAGACTGTCATTTAGGTGAGCAAATCTCCTATGACACAGTGTTACGTCTAATGCAGCGTTAATTTCATTTTTAAGTATTTCAGATTTACGTTTGTCAGGTAACCCTTTTACAATGTAGAGTTTATATATTCTAGGTACACTGAAGAAATATCTGCTACGGTTATCGTAGATTCTTATTTTTGAATTTTGCCAAACAATTTTATATCCCGCTATATCAATATTAGATCCAGCTATTAAGCTGCGTTGTAGATTTGGAGCATAGTATACGTTCTTTAATATTAGCTTTACGAATCTGTCGTTATCTTTAACATAAAAAATTATGTCACCCACCCCTTCTACTTCTGATGTACTGTTCTTATCCCCGACGAGTACTTTTGCTTTCTTCAGAGGTCTAAACGTCTCGAACCATTCTCGTCTGTTCGTGAAATGGGATGTTGCTGCTGAGTCAATAAGTCATTCTTCTAAATCCAGTTCCGTGCTTTCGACCTCGGCAACTTCTTCGTTAATTTCAATATCCGTATAGAAAAGACCAGAAGCGGGATTTTGCCTCACACTTTGACGATCATGCATCTTATTTGCAGTTTTGCTTGCTCTGCAATCTCTTAAATAATGACCTTGTTTATTGCAGTTGAAACACGGCCCCATACTTTTATGTCGATATCCTTTGCTCTGCAAGTTTCGTCTGTATCCAATTTCTTGCGTACTTCTCCGGGCCAGACCGCTTCCGCTGTGTGGAATGTCTTTGTTCTTCGATAAATTCCTTTCTCTTGATGATTTCATGTCTGTTTTAACTAAGTAAGCATTTGTAACTGAATCGAACCCACTATCTCGAGCTTTTAGTTGGAGTCTGCCGGATTCGCTGATCAATTGACTCTCAATATTATTTATTGTAAATTCCGAATCCTTTAAACGATATAAGATCTCTACTGAATTGTCATATTCTTCCGGAAGTTTTCTTATTATCTGGAAACATACTAATAGTTCGGGAATCTCGAATCCAGCTTCTTTAATCTGTGCACTTTTATCTCGAACTCGTTGACAGAATATTCCAATCCCCTCTTCATTTGGCTGAAATTTCAATTCGTAAAATTCATCTACCAGGCTAGCAATTCTTGCTCTTGATTTAGGTTCAAAATTTTCTTTTAGAATGTCCCAAGCTTTCTTCCCATCTGTCGTAGACTGAATCAACTTCAAAAATTGACGTTCAACACCTTGATATATTGTAGAATGAGCTCTAGCTTTCTTTATCTCGAAATTCTGTTTAACCGATTCTGGGGCAGTGTCTACAGGCGGTGATGGTGGTTCAGCTCCACCGACGAATTCCCAACTTCCACGATCCATCAGAGCCACTCTCATGTCACACTTCCAACTATCGTAGTTGAATGCTCCAAGTTTGGGAAAAGATAAGTTCGTTGATTCGGAATTTCCTTCCATATTCAAAACTTAGTTTCTTCCTGCTATTAAAATAAATCTTTCAGCTCCCAGATAGAATTTCTTCTGAATCTATATCGTTGACGTGGGCAAAGGCGTTGAAGTGGGCAAATAGCGCTGAGGTGGGCAAAGGCCCATAACCTTTGTGGACTTAACTCACAAAACAGAGTATGCTAAAAATCATGAAGTACTCAAATAAACTGGAACACATTTATTATTACTTTCAATGGTTAACTTAAATCTAAAATTCTAATTGAATANGAACAGCAGCCGATACATTTCTGATATGTTAGGGCCAGTTGCTCTGCCTTATCTTCGAGGCCTCCATAACGCTACGTTTCAGCAGGAGAATGCAGGGCCGCATGCTGCCCGCACTGTCCTGACCTTCCTTGACACAGAACATGTTCGCCTGTTGCCCTGGCCAGAACGTTCTCCTGATCTCTCCCCAATTGAAAGCGTCTGGTCAATGGTTACGGAATGTCTGGCACGCCACCACTCGTCAGTCACTACGGTCGATGAATTGTGGCATAATGTTGAAGCTGCATGGAAAGTTGTACCCGTCCAAGCTGTCCAATCTCTTTTCGATTCGATACCCATTAGAATAACTGCTGTTATTGCTGCCAGGGGAGGCTGCTCTGAGTACTGATTCCTCAGGACCTATGCATCCAAACATCCTGAAAATTTAATCACTGGTTCTTCCAACTATAATATATGTTCCCAATAAATATCATTCTGTTATTTGAAATCCTTCCTGGTGTAGCAATGTTAATATTCAGTAGTGCAGTTAGGAATCATGAAGTTCTTTAGCGCCAATTATTTATTCATATTTATTTTATAAAAAGTTAAAAAGTTAGTTTATCAATTCAAATAGTGAAGCCTCCAAATATATAGGAACCTAAGCAATTTAATATAAGTTTTACAGTATGTTTACATTTTTTTTAGTTTTTTCTTTAAAAAAAACAGTTAGCATCAAATTTTAATAAATTAACTTTTTATAGATACATAAAACTCAAATCAAAGTTTTGAATAATATTTAAAATTTTTTTTTGCCATACATCACATGACTATCACATTTGTTTTCAAAATTTTATCAAAAGAACGAATTTTTATTTTGCCAACATATCAAAGTGTAGGGGAAAACACAAAAGTATCAAATACTTTTATTGTGTTATTACTTTTGTTTCCTTTTATCTGTTTATTGAATAGAATTTTCGTTACACCAGGGAAAAATAACTAAAAATACTGTACAGTGACTACATGCACCACCATTACAGTGGTTGAAGACTAAACAAAGAGCTAAAAGATCAACGACGAATGAAAGAAAAGTGGATCTTTACCGATCCAACCCCTGGAACCAACCAAGAGAAGAAAAGGAAGAAAGATGTAAGAGAAAAAAAAAATGAACCGAGAGTTTTATTCCGAATCCATTTATCATTGTGGACAAATGCCGAAAGGACAAAAGAGATGAATGCGCGAGAAAAACCGATAAATGTATAATTGGATTTGGTCTGAAACTGGAAATGTAGTTTTTTTAAAGGAAAAATAATGCAGAAACTACTACGGTTGAACAGAACTCTAGACAAAATATTAAAAAACGTTTAAATAATGTGAAAGATTTCAGAATTAAACTTCATGGTTTTTTGTTTTCAAATAGAATAAATAGGAATTAAATATTGTGAGCATAAGGTATTTAAAGACGCTATTTGCTGTTTTGTTTTTCGTGTTTTGTCAGAATAAGATATTTTTCGCCATTGCCACAATTGGGCTATGATTATTTTGCATTCAGTTTTGATTCGAAATATTATTATGTATTCAGTTTTATTCCGAAGTATTATTATGCATTCACTTTTATTTCAGATCCATTTAACAATGTAAACAATTTCCGAAAGAACAAAAGAGATGAATGAGTAAGAAAAACCGATAAAAGCAGTTGAATTTGGTCTAAAATTTTTTTTAAAGCAAAAGCAATGCTAAAACTACTACGGTTGGACCGAATTCTAGACAAATGTTAAAAAGCATTTAAATCATGTGAGAGATGTCAGAATTAAATTTTATTTTATGATTTTTTTCAGTTTACAAATAGAATACGTAGGAAAATGATTGGATTTGGTCTGATACTGGAAATGTAGTTTTTTAAAGCAAAAGCAATGCTGAAACTACTACGTTTGAACAAAACTCCAGATCAAATATTAAAAATCTTTTAAATAATATGAGAGATGTTAGAATTAAGCTTTATGTTTCTTTTTGTTTGCAAGCAGAATAGATAGGAATTAAATTTTATGAGCATAAGATATTTAAAGACTCTATTTACTTTTTTGTTCTTTATGTTTTGTCAGAATAAGATATTTTTCACCATTGCAACAATTGGGCTATAATTATTATGTTTCTGTATTCATCCCTAAGTATTATTATGCATTCAGTATTATTCTGAAACATCATTATGAACTGAGTTTTATTCCGAAGTATTATTATGTATTACCTTTTAATCCGAATTCATTTAACTATCTGGACAAATGCCTTTAGAACAAAAGCGATGAATTTGCAAGAAAAATTGGATTTGGTCTGACACTGTTTAAAGAAAAAAAACGATCCTGAAACTACTACGATTGAACAGAGTTCTATACGAAATATAAAAGAGATTATATATATAAGTCAAAATTAAAATTTAAACTTTTAAATTAAACTTTTTAAACGGCAAAATTAACAAAATATATGAGTCAAAATTAAACTAATGCCTTTCTTGACTGCTAAAAAAATTAATAGGAATTAAATATTATGAGCATATGGTATTTAAAGACGGTATGCACATTTTTGGTTTTCATATTTTGTCAGAATAAAAGAGTTTTCGTTATTTCTTTAATTGGCCTATAATTGTTGTATGTCTGGTATATGTCTGGCATATGTTATATGTCTTATTCAGAAGTACTATTATGAATTTAGTTTTATTCCGAAGAATCATTATGTAATCAGTTTTATTCCGAAGTATTATAATGTATTCAGGTTTATTTTCAAGCCATTTATCAGTGAGGAAAAATATCGAAAGACAAAGGAAATGATTGTGCGAGAAAAACAGATAAAAGTATGTAAATAAATCAATCATTCAATTCGGTCTGAAATTGGGAATGTTGTTTGAAATAACAGCAATTTTTGCCAAAACAACTGCGTTTGATCAAAACTAAGCCAAAATATCAAAAAAAATTTTAATGAATGTGAAAGATGTCAAAATTAAAATATATTTCCTATTTTTAAGTCTGTAAGTCAATAAATAGGAATTAAATATTTTGAATATAAAGCATTTAAAGACGGTATTTACTGTTCTGGGGTTCATGTTCTGGTAGATTAAAATATCTTTTAGTCATTTTTTAAATACAAAAGATGAATATTGTTGCATGTAGTTCCTTGCTTTCTGGTTAAATATTATTTTTTTATGTGTTTTATTTGTGTTAAACTATATTTCTAATTATTGAATTAACATTTATGAAAAACAATCTCTCGCATTCGAGTCAAAGTTAGGAAAAATTGTTGTGTACTTTATGAATTCATTTAATAAAATAATAAGAAAAACTAAATTGTGACAGACATTAAAAATGCAAGAAAGTGCAGTTAGAAAATAAAAATGCTATGCTGAAAAGTACAATATTGGTAAGTATTTAATAAAAAATAATTGAGATATTTCTATATTTTTTAATACTTGCGCTTTTTTACCTTTCAGTTATATGCATATAATTGATAAAATTATATATATCGATATGTATAAAATTGATACTTCAGGTTTAATTACTGATGATAATAGCATAATAAGGGTGCTGCGAAAAAGTCATTACAGTTAAAAAAAAAAGTCAAAGAGTTAATAAACAGTCAGTCTCTTTTATTAACGCTTTGTCTGTTTCAATGGTGATTCATGCATATTTTTAACAATATTTAAAATAGAAACTTTTCAAACTGTTGCCTTTTGTTAAGTATGCTTTGAGATAAAAATAGTTTGCTTTTGAATTTAAAAAAAAAAACGTAAATATTTCAATAAAACTATTAATAAATGTTGTTAAAAATAAGAGAAAGGATAAAATTATTTCCAAATGGTTGCTTTTTTATAGAGATTTTTTTAATGAATAAAATTTATCTTCATGCATTTTTTAAAAAGAATTTAGGGTTTCAATAACTATTTAAAAGACAATCGGCTAAGTATCTCAATATTTAATTCACTAAATTGTCTCTTAAGAGATTTCATTTATCTACATGTATCTAAATACGATTATCTCCTTTTTTGTTATTTTAACCAGTATTTTCTTTTCCCTAAATAAAAATATTAATTATTGTATTTAAATGTTCTAATTGTAAGAAAGATTGTCAATAAAGTTTGAATTCAATTTAAATAGCAAAAAGCTCAATAAAAATGCTAGATTCTTAAATAACAATATCTCTCTTTCTTTAATATGAACATAAAAAAAACATTCTTTTACTTTATTTAACACGCCATTCAAAATAATACTTTTAGAGTCCTAAAGGCGTAATCATAGTATATTATTATTTTTTTTTAACGTTTGACTATTCACCTGTGTCATTTTTAAATCCAATCTTACTTGTAAAGACATAAAGATGCTTTTAAAAAATAGCAATTCATCCGCTTGCGTGACTCTTTGAGTGACATAATTTTTGAGGGCTTGTTTGTAAGAATTGTTCATGTCATTATTCAGATGTTTAAAATAACATATTGAAGTACAACCTTTATTTTTTCCCCGCTTATTTCATGAATAACCTTTAAGTCAACCTTTTCAAATGATTAGATCCATCATGATTTCTTTTGTAATCAATTCTTAACTCTGTTGAATTTTCCTTTTTCAAATATTCCTACCTTTTCATTGAATATTGCTGATAATGGTATCTAATTGGGTATATGGGGTAATTATTCATAATAGTATGTACAGTGGGCAAAATAAAAAACAGTCCACTTTGAATAACTTTTAATTTAATGATTGGATCTTATCCTAAAGTTCTCAACATTA